ATATATATAATCTAAGAATAAAAAATTTTCAATTTATCGATAAATTTTAAAAAATTTATATTTAGTTAAAAATTATTAAAAAAATTTATTAAGCAGATATAATAATTAATAAAAATTATCCTAATATTATTTAAATCTTCCTCTTTCTCTCTATATATAATTTAATGATAAAATATATACAGTCCTACGATGATAATACTTGTAAAAATATTTTGGTCAATTAATAAAACAATGTTTCGCTTTAGCATGAAAAAAACAAAAAGGTTAAAAGGATTTAATTTTTGACAATGAAATGCAAAAATGTATATAATCATGATTGAAAGAGATAGGAATGAAAATAAACGTGAGATAAATGAGAGAAAGAAAAAACAAAGAAAACAACAATATTATACTAATAATATATTATATGAATAATTTAGCTCAAAATTAAAATAGAGACGGTGATGCAGAAATTTAAATAGTGGAACCTTATGGGCTTGTCTATAGTCTAATGATCTTATCCTCTCAATTGAACAACCTGGACGAAAAATAATAATAATTTAATTAGATGACACTAAAATTTTATTTTGTGGCAACTTAATATTTGTTTTGTTTAGGTCTATCATTATATCTTTATATTAAAAAAATGGTTAAGTGTTTCCGTGCTAAAAAGAAAAAGGAAGAGAAATTGAAAGATAAGCCCGGGATTGCGGTGACAAATCCATTTTGCACAACTCATTGGGGAAAATACCGATTGTGTACGCATGCCCTTAAAACAGTACGTTGAAGTGATGTAATGTGATAGCGGTGTAGTTTTACCTTCATCTTCAGATTCAGATTGAGTTACGTTGCGGTGTGTGTGTGTGTGACTGTGGATTCTCTCCCCACCACAGTCCAAAGAAAAAAGTAGCTTTCAACGATATACTGGAATGCTGTATATTTTACTCTCTCCTTTTAAATCTTGTACACTAAATTATAATTTGACATTAAAAAATGTGCAATTTTTTTGACGGTTTGTACATGTGTACATGTACTTCTCGTATCACCAAGTCCTAGATCTCTTCAGCACCCAACAGGCACAGAATTTACGAAACCGGTTTTTGCTCCTTATCTTCAGCTTATGTAAAAAAATTTATCCCACCTTCCCGCAACATTGCCACCTACCATTTGCTGTAGTTTTTTTTATATTTTTTTTCAAATCTTGGGGTGGTTGAAAGTTTTAAACTTTTCTTGATTCAATTGCAAGTTTGGTCTTGAATGAATACTTCTAAGAAAAGGGTACCTTTCAACTTTTTGAACGCTTCTTCTTCTTCTTCTTCATGTGTCTCTCTACTTGATGAACAGGTGCTGTTTTGTGACATTGGATGTGTGGATTTCTGAACTTATTTCACACATGTCATGCATTATTTTGGCTCCTGCTGCATCTCTTTGCATCCAAGACTTGGTGTCGGTTTAGACTTGGAATTCCTCATTCAGGATTGTTGAAGTAAGTTCACTTACTAGTGCTTGTACATGTGTCATTTGATGGGGTTTCATTTTAGTTTTTCTTTCATGAGTTGCATTTTCCTGAAGAATTTTATTGTTATTGTTATTTTTTTTTTATGCTTATTTTCTTAAAGAAATTTTATTACAGTTGTTATATTTATCTCGTTTTACTTATTTATTTATGATTAATAAGTTTTTGAATCCTTCAGAGTTTGTTCAGTATTTAATTGTCTTTTACTCCTATGAATCTGACAAGTTTCAAGGGCATGTTTAGATGGGTGCCAGGTAGATTGGTATGCAATTGCCAAATGTTCCAAGTGTAACGTTTCTGCTTTTGGCTTTCTGGGGTTTTAATGGAATTTTCTCACACATTCCTAATTCTTGTTTTAAAAATAGGTATAGGATTCCCTAGATCTGATTCATCTGAATCACACCAGTGAGGAGAGATTTTATGGGGATTAAATTGGCTGTTGGGATTTTTGGCTTTAACTGATAAGGCTAATTCATTTGTTTGTCACAGTATAGGTGTGAGCTGGATCCCCCTTCAATCCTCTGGCATTGGCATGTACCAAATTCGAGAAGCTTAATAGGGTTTTCTGGGGAAGTAGAGGATCTACACTAATTTGAATGGGGCATTCTGCAGCTGTGTGGGACTATAGAGCAGCAACGGAAATTACAAAGGACTGGAATGGAATTGATCAAATTGTGCTACGGACCCCAAGGGGTGCTTCAGCACGGGTGAGAACTTGTTGATTGCAGTATTTGCATCCATTTTAACATTTATAGTTTCAATGAAAACTTTCTACATATTGATTCCATAATCAGTGTTCTAAAGACACTGGTTAGCGAGACTCGGGATAAAATTATGATTTTATCATTTATTATAACATCTGATGCCAATCCATGATAAGGAGAACACAGTTCTTAAAGTCATTTCTAGTTAGAGTATATAATTTAAGTTCTAGCAGTATTGGGATTAACTGTTTTTTTTTCCTTGAAATTAGGTAAGCTTACATGGGGCGCAGGTCACTTCCTGGCGGAATGAGCAGGGGGAAGAACTTCTATTCACAAGCAGCAAGGTATGTCTTTTAATTTTGATTAAAAATAATTAATTATTTTTTTCAAAGTATATGGATTTGTCATATGTCAGTGCTGATAAGGAAAATATGTGTCAACGTTTCATAATCCTGTTTTCTGAAATGAGTTCATTTTGGGATAAACTGCATTATATTGAAGGTAGTATGTGGAGGGCATTGGCTCAGATAATCAATAAATTCAGATAGAGTTCGGATGTTGATGAATCGTAACATTCTATGTTGCTCATCAATCATATCAATGCAAAAGACAAATAGGGAAGAAAGAGTGCATTGATTAATGTTGCACTTATTTTTATGGGGAGTGGGAGAACAATTTCACTCATTTTACTATTAGTTAGCAGATATGTAGTGCTTTTATGCTCTTGAAAGTTGAATACTTGTTCAATGAAAACTCTGATGGGATATCCAACTTACTTACTGATGATGTTGATTTATAACAATAAGAGCAAGTTTCCTTTTTGGTACCTTGGTTCACAGATGATAATTTTGTAGAAATATAGAACTTTAATCAATTTTGCTCTGTAAAGAGGTAAGTAGTCATAACTTACTCTTTTGTCTTATATTTTCAATTGATTGTAGGCAATTTTCAAGGCTCCAAAAGCAATACGAGGAGGAATTCCTGTATGTTTTCCACAGGTAAAACTACTTTGTTCATTTTAATAAATTGTAACATACATAACTCACATATCTTAGGCTGAACCTGTTTAACAGTTTGGAAATTGTGGATCACTGGAGCAGCATGGTTTTGCGAGAAATAGAATGTGGACAATTGATGATAATCCTCCTCCTCTGCATGCAAATGATTCCAGTGGGAAATCCTTCATTGACCTGCTACTTAAGTCATCTGAAGAAGATATCAAGTGCTGGCCACATAGGTATGAACTTGAATGCCACCATGGATTATGATTCACTTAGCCTATTAGCTCGGTGTGACAGAATCACATGGATATCTGCATGCGGTTTTGATTGTTTGAATCTGACATATGCACTTGATATCACTTTCTTGTGTGTTTTGAAGTAAATTTCAAGCAGTGGTAAGCTAAAGATTGCTTAATTTTACCAGTTTTGAATTCCGTCTCCGGGTGGCTCTTTCGACAGATGGGGACCTGAGTTTGATATCTAGAGTGAGGAATATAAATGGCAAGCCATTTAGTTTCTCATTCGCACATCACACATACTTATTGGTTTCTGACATTAGGTATGGATAATTCTTTCTTATAATGTCCTTCATTCCCTTTCCTAAGCCTGTAGGATGATGCCCAACCTCATTTGTTTCTTTTACATTGTAAATTGACTTCTGGAACACTTAATTAAAGTTTTTTTTTAGCAGAAATGATGTTTCGTTCTTCAGGATTTATTGGAGACAAATACTTGGTTTATTGTTCTGAAATGTATTTTCTGCATTTATTATAAGGACAATTTTTTTATAATTGAGCTATCCTTCTTTTGTTTGTTTTAGAACAAGTAATCAGTACTCATATTAACAATGTTGTGTAGTGAGATAAGGATTGAAGGTCTGGAAACACTAGATTACCTAGACAATCTTTTTCAAAAAGAACGATTTACAGAACAAGGAGATGCGATAACATTTGAATCTGAGGTAATATTCATGTTTACAACAGATAGATATTATTTATAGTTCCATGATGCAATTTAAGCTTTTGCTTGATGTTGTGGTAACTATAGCACATTATATCTAGCCTAGGCCTATTCCTATGCAGTCTTGTCAATCACATATCAAATTCACTGTAGTCTTTAGGTTTTGACATGATGAAGACTATGAACTAAGAGGTTTTGAAAATTCATCATTCCTTCGTGGCAGGTGGATCGAGTTTATCTTGGCTCTCCAAACATAATTGCAGTGCTAGATCATGAGAGGAAAAGGACATTTGTTATTAGGAAGGAAGGTCTCCCTGATGTTGGTAAGTAAAAGTTGTTCAGAAACATATGAAAAAAGGAGAACTAAGGAGATTTAGCTCAATTGATAAGTGGTGTGTGTGAGTTGTTGTAATCAATCCCTTGGTATACTGATAAAAAAAAAATCACAACAAAAGGTGGTTTGCAATATATGTCTAGTTCCTGCAATCAGCAGCACTATATATATGTGATAGAAAATTGAATTGCAGTCCTTTTGATGTGTTCAGCTGTGTGGAATCCATGGGAGAAGAAATCAAAGGCAATGGTGGACTTTGGTGATGAGGAGTATAAACAGATGCTTTGTGTTGATGGGGCGGTAATTGAGAAACCGGTGAGCTTGAAGCCGGGAGAGGAATGGACAGGGCGGCTGCAGCTCTCAGTTGTGCCATCGAGTTTTTGCAGTGACCGGCTGGGTCTTGACAGAAGTGGTCTTTGAGGAATTGTACAAAATCGGTCTCAGATTATGCTATGCTACATCCACTGTAGCATTAAGTTTGTAGAAATAGTGTTCTTTAGGTTTTCTGTGGCTAGAAATAGTGCTTTAGAGAGGCCTATGTTTTTGTGAGAATGGCTATCAAATGTTAGTTGGTTCATTTCTGCTATGGATTCTCCTTCTTTTGAAGCCTTAGATTTGTGTTTTGTAGATGCCAAGTTGCTTTTTCGCATGAATTTTATGATGTTCCACGGCATGGATAACTTTTACTTTCATGTTCCAATTTGCTAATATTCTTTGAAAGGCTAATTTGGAACATGATGATCGATGTTTCATGAGAGACATTGAAACGAGTGGTTAATGAGCAATGCATGTATTATAAAGGTGAATTTTAGGTATTTTTCACATAATTATTTAGAGATTAATTTGATATTATCACCGTGTAAAATCTTACACTATTAATTAATTACAATAGTTAATAATTATATCATACGTGAGATCTACAATTGAATGATATCGAGGATTTTTCTTATGTTGTCGATGATATCTAATTAATTTCTTATTTTTGTTCAATAAAGTGTTTTGAAAAGAAGTACGTAAAAGAAACATTAGCCTTCTCGTGCTTTGCAATTGTAACACATGTTGACAGAGGCGGGACCACGTGGGAAGAGATGACTGATTTCATCTTCATATTTCATTTCATCTTCATTCTTGTAATTATTATTTTTAATTATTCACTAGTAGTTTATTTTAACTAGTTAAAATTATGTATTCATTCATATTCTTATTATATCGTTATCTATCCATATTTCCTATACCAAACTTATTGCGTAAATTCTTTGTTTTATATATATATTACTTGGTTATAATATTTTTCATTAAGCCTTATTCTTAAAAAAAATAATCATCGTCAATAAAAAACTTATGCTACAAAATTGATTGAAAAAAGTTTTGGAATTAACTATCAATAGCCAATTTTAGCAATCAACATTTACAATTTAGGTTATAATGTTGACTTAATAAAGCTACAATTGATCCAAAAACAAATCAAGAAAGCATTTTGAAAATTTTCCCAAATATATATAGTTTTTATATTTAAATCATCAAGTTATATAAAAATCGAAGTCCATAATTGTTAGGCACAGCAAAATTCGGGAAATTATTTGGTACACTAATGAGTTTAAGTGCTATATTAAATCAAGACTCAACTACAACATAACTATTAAACAACAAAGCTTTCTTTATCGAATTTTGGCGTACCTGTTTCTCCAAAATTCAAGGCAACTTATGAAATTAAACATCAACGTTCTTTAGCAACGACCATACTCAACCAACCCGCTAAAAGATTTTGGTTTTAACTTTAGATAATTAATTCTCCATTTGTTAGAGTGCCAGATTCAGATCCCTAGTTCCACTCCACATGCCTTCTATTTTTGGGGGATTTTTGGTAAACGACGAACATGAACTCAATAATTCATAAATTTGCTACTTTAGTCGACAAGGCAAGTTGGAAGAAATGAGAAACCAATTCTACAAACTACAGGTTACGTTTAGTCAGCATCGTATACCAAAATAAATGTTTCCAGTAAAATAGGAAACAAATAGAAAGCATTAAATGGAAGCAAATAAGAAACAATACTTCTGCTACAAAACTATACACCTCGTCGATACTCGAGTTGATTTGTGTTCTCCAGTAAAATCTGCCAGCCAACAAAATCAGGATTTTAGTTATGAAATGAGTGTGAACTATGTTTTGACTCCTCTTAGTATAATCACAATTGACGATAGTTCTTACTTCTCTAATGTAGTTTGCTATTGCTTTGCAGCCTTCAATTGCCAGTTGCATTACATTTTCCAAAAGGTCAATTGGTAGTTTAGAATCCATCTACAGCCAGTAACAAGAAATTAGTGCAAATAAAATTAAACTAAAAGTTTTTCCCCTCTAAATTACGGAATGCCATTCAGTGAATACTTGAGAAAATTTGATAAAATAAACTGGAGTTCAAAAGAAAAGCACTGCATGCGGCTCATGATAATGCTGCTCAAGGATTAAAACACTGAAGTCTGAACTATTCCCGCTAAAGCACAACCATTACTTTAAATGAGCCAAATCCAAAATCTTGCACACAACAATTTTGGAAGGAGGGAGAGGGATAACAGCTTGAAAACCAAAAGGCTTACCAATGACAGAAAGCAATAGTTGAAAAAAGATGGGTCAAGAGCTCAAGGGCTCAAAAGGGTAATACCCAGAGTAAGGACGGTAGAAACTTTCACAATATACAAGCAAGAGCAACACACTCCATCACTTATCCAGGAATTTGCAAGGGAGCATAAAATTTCTCCTTTTTCTTGAATTAATTTACTTTTCTGGATACGAAAGAAATAGAGAGAAAATAACAAGACATGGAAGATTAACCTGGAGAAGTGTCACTTTATCCAGCTTTGGCAGAATTCCTAGAGTTACATCAGGACCTCCAGCACTATCTTCTCCGTAGTTCAAATCTGTTCATATTCATTGACCAACTTTTAATAATTATGATAGATCAAGATTCAAATATTGACTGAACTAGAAGTAGACACACCACCCTTGGATTTAGCCAGTTAAAGTTTCAAGTAAAAGACATATATACCGAGCAGAGGGGTGCTATTAAGGTATCCAGCACTACAGGAAGTTACAAGATCACGCATAGGGATCCCAGCATCGGCAAGGGCCAAAGTTGCAGCATTTATACATGCAGATCTAGTTCCTGTCAAAGGCATGTCGAGAACAAAAGTTATATAAAAGTACAATGACATATTTTAACCTTGCCAAAAATTAACCCACATGTTATAAGAGTAGAAAAGAGAGAAAATAAAATGACAATCACAAGATCCCATTATCAGGTCTTAGCTACCTCCATCTGCTTGGAGAACTTGAACATAAATATCTATCTGCAAATTTAATAATTAAAGCATAAAAAATTTAAAAATAAAAGACAATTTACATTTATACAAAAAAAGTTCTGAATCCGCAATAAAACCTGGGAACGCGGCAATAAATGTGTCAATATACACGCTTCCATGGTTTGGCGAATAACCAGAGAAATTTCAGTTGATCTCCTGTAGCATGAGAAAACTTCAATCAACCAAAGTAGTAAAAACAAGAGGTCATCGCATTATTCTTGTGTAAGAGTACCTTACAAGGAAAACCAAATTAAAAACTCTGAAGGAGAAGCAAAACAATCTAAAATTTATATCCACAAATGTTGATGGTTAAGCAAGTTGAAAAATATATGCAAATTTTGGCCACAGATGACTATAAAAGTTAAGGCTCAAACAAAAGATAAAAAAAATGAAGGGGGGCAGTAATGATGCTAAGGGTATTACTTTTTACTGCTCTGTGATACATAGCCCATTGCTCAGCATGTAGTCATCAATCTCATAGGCATGACCGCATGAAGCAACCAACCCCAAAAACACTCTAGTAAGTTATACTAAAAATTATGACTTGATGAATAATTTATACTGTATAGTTTAAACATAATTAATAAATAAATAATATCCAAAAATAAAACAATTCATAATTAATAACCAAAAGTCAGTCTAAAAGTCTACACACAATCTCCACTTTTGCAGTTTAATTCCTACTTTTGTCAAAAGATGAAACAGACCATTCACAATTACAAGATATTCTTAAGATTGATTCTATTAATGCAACATTCACTCTCATCCTGTTAGTCAATACTCCTATACCATTTCAACAAGTACGAATATAACAAAAATCAAGCAAAAAGATTACAAAGTTAAACAAGTAAATAAGCAAAACCTGTCGCCCTTAGGTTTCCTCATGCGATCTCCAGCGCTAAAATTAGCCATGCTGTACTCACACCGAACCTACAGACATACAAAGCCCATAGACAGAAATTAAGTTTTCATTACAATGGATATAAATCCACTAACAATATACTCAATATATTATAACTTAAAAGAAAAAATCTACCAGAGCATGGCTACTAATTTGTTGGCTCCTATTTTGCACCTGAAATGCATAGAAGTTACTAAAGAAAAACAGAAAATCATCTAAAGCTCAAATGCAACTTCAACACTTTTTTAAACATTAAGCCAATTAACACACATAAAAGATATTAACCCTTCTTCATTTTATGTAGATAACTATGAATAAGCAAAGTAAATAATTATAAAGTACCTCTCTAGGGCCATAAACAGCAGCAATAACTTTTGTATTACCCATCTCAAAAATGGCAGAACTGATTCCAAAATGAAAAAAAAAAAGTTAAATGCTTCAAATGAAATCACAATTTTTTAAAAAGCTAAAATTCATTTACCCATCTGCTTTTGATACAGCACCAATCTCTGCACGGATTTGTCGCATCTAGGATATACCAAGAGGGGGGAAATGGTAAGGACAAAGATCAGAAGAGAAAGAAACACAAATCATATATTTTGGTTACCCTAAAGTGAAGGGAAGTGCACAATAGAGGCAATAGTGCAGTAATAGCTGTTTAGATTTTAACATCATAGTTTGTGATACATGTATTGTCTGCTTATCCTTAATCAACAGTTATAACTTCACCTTATCCTTATCCTCTAAAATGCATCACCTAAGTTCTTGTCTGCTTACGGTGAGCCAGACCTTGTTAATTATTGTTTCAAACCTCTTCAAATTCCACTAAGATAATTTGATTCCAAATGTGTCCTTGGTGTACTTGGTAACACATTTTTTCTAGTTCAATGCCCCCTTACACATTTCCATTACCTATGGCCCAACTATGAACAAAAAGCTACTGCAAGTTGTGTCTATGTAAGAATTTATAAAGTTCAACATTTAATATACTAATGAAACTTTAAAATTAGAATAAAAAAGGGGGGAAAATAATAGTAGTACCTCCATGGGTCGGCGACCATCCAAGCGAAGTCCTTCTGGGCTGACGTATTCCATTCTCAGGGTCAATCTGTGCAATGTTGCAGCGAATAAGGTGAAGCTGAATGAAGAAAATGAAGGGTAGAAGGTGTATTTAAAATGGGAGCATTGAATTCCATGGTATCCCAGAACGGCCCGTTCTAAACAAGCATTTTAAGGCCTTTTTAGTAGCCCAGAACGGCCCGTTCCAAAACCAACACGGTCCGTTTCGATTTACTAAAAAGACCTAGTTTGAAACTGATGCCAGCGGAACGGGCCGTTCTCCTGCGAGAACGGGCCGTTCTCCTGCGAGTTTATGGTTTAGGGTTTATACATTCCTGAGCCGGAAACGAAAAAAAAAAATTAAAAACTACGAGGGATTTTTTCTATTGATTTTTTATTCCCTTCAGTCCTTACCTTAAGGGATTCTTATCTTTCCCCACGAGATCTTCAAGCCAGATGGAGTATCTTGAAAGCCCGCCCTAGAGAACAGATAGGAGTTCCTATCTCTACTGCCTATCCAACCCGAAGATTCTTATTCATGGTGGAGTGCTTCGAGTAGGATCCGACCCCATCCCAGCAGTCAAACTCCTTCCTGACCCGGCTCACCAAGTTGGGGGAACCGAATTATAAGCATTAAAAAATAAAAATTACAGTGCTCAAAATTTGCGAATAATAGATATTTTTTTTAAATAAAATAATATTTCAGAAAAAAATTCTTTATTTGAGTGTCTGATTCAAAAGAGTGGAGGGAATGAATTTTAATGAAGGAGAGGGGAAGTGAGGGATTAAAAAATGAGAAATTCTACGGTACTCATATTATTTAAGAGAGTACTAGTACAATTATAATTATAATTTTATTTTATATTTTATATTTTTAATAATTTATTTAAATAATATTTATGATATTTTATTCTTTAAATTTTTAAATTATTTAGTTATTTTATTTTTATTTTATATATTTTAATTTTATTTGTAATAATATTATTATATATTTAAATAGTTTAATTTTAATATTTTTTGTCTTTTCACTTAAAACTTTTAATTTTCTATATTTTAATTTTAATAATTTTTTAAGTATATTTTTGTCTTTTCTTTTAAATTTTTGAATTTCTATATTGTAACTTTAATAATTTTTTATTTCTACTATTTATTAATTATTTTCTTTTTAATGTTTTATAACATTATTAAAATTTTATAATTTTAATCTCTATAATTTTATCTTATTTTTTATTTTATAAATATAATTTGAATTATTTATTTTATAATTAAATTGTTTTTTTTTATTTTAATTTTTGAAGGTACCGTAGTAACTCCCTTAAAAAAATTGTTTGGTTGGTAGAATAGGAACTTTTCTTGTTTAGTTTTTAAGAAAAGAGAAAAAAATTTGAAAATTAATTTATTTTATATCTTTATAATTTTTAATTTAAATATATAAATAAAAAATAATTTAGAAATTATATTAAAAATTTCTTAAGACTCTTTCACTTCAAATTTCGATAATATTAGATGAAAGTTAAAATTAGATGAAAAAGAAATTTATTTCCATCTATTTTCCTCCCTTCCTAAAAATCTAATGAAACAATAAAAATCATTTTGTCACTTTTATTTTGTTCCAATCAAACACAATATAAAAGTCATATAAATATATCACTTTAAATGGTTACATTTTTGAGTTATTTTGTTAGTTTATTTTAACTTTTAATTTTTAACTAAGATAAAACTTATATACATTTCTTTAGATATTATTGGTCTTGTTTTTTAATTATAATCAAAGATTTATCTAGATAATATAAACTTGTATTTAATACATATTTTATTAATATACATTTATGTATTTTACTTAGATAAATATTCAATTTTGATAGGAATTATGTCTAAGTTTTAATTTTTTAAGTGATTAATTATAAATTAGGATAGAAGAAAATTAGAATGTATGATGCATTAATTTGGTTGCATGGAAGTAATTAAGATATAGATGGAAAGTTAAAAAAAGAAAAAAAGAAAAAAAGATGATTGTTGTGAGAGGGATAGTAAGATAGTTGTTGCACAGTTGCAGAATGAGTTGTGTATACGTAGGGTTGGATGGCATGTCACTGAGCAAAGGAAACAAAAAACTGCGCGTGGATCTTTCTCTCTCCTCATTTCCAGCCTCTTATTACTCCACAACCTTACCTTTTCCATTCGTAATACTAACCTCCCTCAAATCTCAAATACCATTTCAGGATTCTCTCTCTCTCTCTCTCCAGACATTTTCATTGTCCTCCACAACATCTCTTATCTCATTCATTCTCTTATCTCCATCTAAACACATTCTCAATGTTGATCACCTTTCATCTTCTCAAACCCATGTACAATTGATCGTCTTCTTCTCCTTCGATAAAACCATGGAGGAATCCTCACCCCAACCTCAACCCAAACTGCTGCTACAGAAACCCCCCGCCCACCAACAAACCACCGCCAACCTCCCGCCGCCGCCGGCCAGAATAAAGCCAGCCCCTCCGCAGGCCTTCCGCCCGAAGCCCAGGCCCAAGCGGCGGAGCGGCTGCCGCATATGCTGCTGCAGCACCTGCATCGGCCTCCTCATCCTCATCCTGGTCCTGGTCATCGCCGCCGGCATCTTCTACCTCATCTACGACCCCGCCCTCCCCCACTTCCGCCTCTCCTCCTTCCGCGTCCCCACCTTCAACATCTCCGACGCCATCGACGGCCCCTACCTCAACGCCAACACCATCTCCCGCGTCGAGGTCAAGAACCGCAGCGGCAAGATGACGTGGCGCTTCGCCCCCTCCAGGGTGGCCATCTCCGCCGACGACGGGGACGTCAATCTGGGCTCCACCAACCTGGCGGGGTTCTCCGTGAGGGAGAGGGCCGTGGCGGGGCTGAAGGCGGAGACGAAGGTGAGCAACCAGGCGCTGAGTGAGAGGCAGAGGAGGAGACTCAAGGGCGCTGTCGTCGGGAAAGCCTTGGCACCCTCTTTGGAGTTTCGAACCAAAACCGGTGTGACCTTGCAGGGTTGGAACTCACCCTACCTCGCCATCACTGTCGTCTGCGGAGGTGTCACCATGCGGGAACTCGAAAAAGGAGGCCCTCCTCGTTGCACCATCACTTTCCTCAAATGGTATATATATATATATATATATATATATCCTAACACTACTCACTTCTATTAATATGCTACCTTATCAGATTAATGTCACCAGCTGCATGTCATGGATTTTTATATTTTATTGCTTTTCATTGCTTTTGATTTAATATTGTGTGTTATATATCACTACTGGGGTTGGATGACATATCATCATGCGTGTATGTTTGTTTCTGTTTCTAGGAAGGGGAGTGAGGGTGGGGATATTGGTTACTAATCTCACTATTTCCTGGGATGGACCACACGCAGGTTCAAAATACGATGACTTGGGGATCGATGTCGTGTCAAATGTGTTCTATACATATTGCGGATTGATGTTCAGCGCGCCATTTAGAGGTGAAGATTTTGTGCGCTTCTATCTAAATTCTAAATTATTTTTTACATTCTTCTTTTTCCTTTTTACCAAAGTAAAGGAAGAATAAAATGTAAAAAGGAAATATTGTAATATTATTCTTTGCTTACAAAAAAGAAAAGGGTCCCTCTCTCTCGTCTACAGCATGCAGTTCAATAACTTTCCAAATACGATGTGGATTCGATTCGATGCACACAAGTCCAATTAATACATGAGGTTGTATTTACCAAAATATTTATTGTTTTTTATGTGGTTGTTGATAGGAATCCTAGCAAACTCAAGCACTCCAGAAAATGTTCTGTCTGCTCTTTTCAATAAGAAAATCACAATGTGATGGGGCACCCAGCAGGACTCGTGGAGGAACTCAGTGTTTTTTTTTCCCTTACAAGCAGTTAACCATGGAGTAAGTAAAAAAACATAGGTCAGCCTATGGAAAATATTTAATAAGTTAGGGTAGGTTTTTAAGGTGTAACATATCATTCTCATTGCTAATCACTAGTTATATGGTAGAAAGAGAACTTAAGGGCCAAGGCTGTCTTATGAAAGCGGTTAGGAAGAGAGGGATGTTAGGTCTGCCACCTTCTCCATCTCTAATTATCTTAGTGTAAAGTAACAATTAATGTATTTTGGGTTTTCCTTCTCATCGAGAGCATTGCATTCTTCGGCCACGCGCGCGCTGCATCATATACACACAATATTTCCTATATATTCAAATATTTACTTTGTCAATTATTTTATATTAGCTTACAATAAATAATTTTGGAATCAAACCAGGAAACTAGACTAGACGGATGCTGCGTCCAGCTTTAACTGCAGCAATTAATACTTTTTTTTTTAAATAATTAAAAAATCCTTATTTCTATTTCCTTTCAAGTTTCACCTTTAGGATAAACCTTCAATGCAAGGGTGAAAAAAATAAATTTATTCGTAAAACTTAGATGGCGTTTCCACAATGTTTTAACATTCTCCGAGAAAAAGCTTTTTATGATAATTGATAATAAAGTTAATAACCGTTCTCATGGTAATTAACATTAAACATCGTGTGTTTAAGAAAGTTAAATAATAGTGAAGCATATTTTATAAAAAAAAATTTGACAATCTTACTCCTCAAAATCAGACTCCTAGGAAAATAGTTTAATTATGAATAGAAAATTATCTACTCCAGATGTTAAAATAATAGTCGTCGTAACTTGTAAACGATCGAACAAAAGATTTAACCTAATGTTTATAAGATCGATTCTCATAATGTTTAGATAATAGTAGTTTTAAGGATACACTAGTGCAAAAGAGGCTTTTTACGTCTGTATTTTTACGTCAGATTACAACATATTCGACGTAAAAACGACGCGGTGGCATTTTTGAAAATAACGCAAATTTTTTTACGTCGGACAACAAAGGGACCGACGTAAATTAAACAATCTACGTCGAACCTCAGCTACAACCGATGTAGATTGTTGAATTTACGTCGGTCCCTTTGTTGTCCGACGTAAATGAAGTTGAATTTTTGAATTTAAGTTGCGTAGCGCCTCTCTTTCTTCACCAGATTTCCTTCCCGCTCTCCCTGTTTCGCAGCCAACACGTAACGCCTCTCCATTCTTCACCAGATTTTGTTCAGATTTCGCAGCCAACACGTAACGCCATTGTTTGGGAGCATTCAGATTTCGTTCTCGTTCTTCGCTCATTTCCTACGTTCGAAGGTTCCTTTCTTATCTTCTTCCCTCCTTTCTTTATTCCGTTCGAACGTATCGTAATGTTTATCTGGCTGCAGACAGGAGCAGAAATTTGTACAAGGCCTTCTGGGTTTGGAGACGCAGTCCTGGGTTTATCAAGCAGAACGGTTCGTTCTCCAAGCAGAACGGACGTTCTCCAAGCAGAACGGGCCGTTCTCCAAGCAGAACGGGCCGTTCTGTTCTGCTGCACTTGTTTTCTTTTTTTTTTTTAAATTTTGTATGACTTTTTACGTCGGACCTTGGCATGTTCGACGTAAATTTACGTCGGTTTTCGCGTCACAACGTAAAATTTACGTCTCCCGCTTTTACGTCGGACGTTTCTCTGACGTAAAAACCCCTAAATAACCGACGTAAAATGCTTATTTTGTACTAGTGATAGAAACATATAATTCAAACATGATGCTTTTAGGATCGATGCAATTATAAGTTAGAGGACAGATTTATCAATCGAAGCATTCAAAAGTGAGCTATATTTCCTTTGTGTGGAATTGGTATGAGATTATTTTCAAGTTAGTCGATAGTTAAATTAAGATCTCACTTATGAGTATAGATCCTTAAAGTCATTTAAAAAAAATAAATTTAATATATAATCATATAGTCAATCTGAAGCTATAATTTAATACGTAACTTAGCCCAAAATCGAGAGTATATAGTCCTCAGTCTCGAGCCAAAAAGACAAATAAAACTTACAAAAGATAATGTAATTCTCATAACCTAAAACCAATAAGGTACAGTAGTCAAGTAGCTATAAAATCGAGCACGGAAATATAAAAATTGTAAAATTGAGAATCTCTATGGTTGAGTAATTTAAGAGAAATAGAGAGAAGAGCTTAGAGCAAAAACTGAGAATATGTGACAATGATTTTCATTCTAATCACTAACAAAGGAAGCTACAGTATATATATTACATCATCCAACCGTTGATTTCTAACTAACTTGAACCAATAAATGGTTGAGATCAATCAACTAACTATTAATAGCAAACTAACTAGTTAACTTACATTCAGATACTTGCATATCAAGTAACTAACAGCTAATAACTAATACAATTCTAATAGCCCCCCTCAAGCTGGAAGGTGTATATTACACATTCCTAGCTTGGAAATATTCAAGTGAAATGGCCCAGACGCAAGAGGCTTCGTAAAAACATCAGCGAGTTGGTGAGCACTCCGCACTGGTAGAAGATGAACAATCCCAGCTTGCACCTTTTCTCGAATTGAGTGACAATCAATCTCGATATGTTTTGTCCGTTCGTGAAAAACGGGATTGGCAGCTATATGAAGAGCAGATTGATTATCACAAAATAGAGAAATAGGTTTGTAATGTTGCAATTTCAGATCAGCAAAGAGATAGGTTAACCACTGAGCTTCATAACCAGCAAGAGATAATGCACGATATTCAGCTTCTGCTGAGGATCGAGATACTGTGCGTTGTCTCTTACTTTTCCAGCAAATCAAAGAGTCACCAATAAAGAAGCAGTAACCTGTAACTGATCTCCTTGTGTCTACACAAGATGCCCAATTAGAGTCACTAAAACCTTGTACCTTGTCAGAAGAAGATGCAGGAAAGAACACACCTTTTCCTGGTTCATTCTTCAAATATTTCAAGACTCGGATTGCAGCATTGTAGTGAGCAACTGTGGGTTTATCCAAGAATTGGCTTAAATGACTTACGGCATAAGATAAGTCTGGTCGTGTATGAGTCAAATACACCAATTTTCCAATCATTCTCCTGTAACCTGTTAAATCAGCATAAGCTGGACCAGAAGCACTATGTAACTTGATGGTGCTATCCATAGGTGTAGATACAGGTTTCGTTCCTAGCAATCCTGCACTAGATAACAAATCCAGAGCATATTTTCTTTGACATAGATTAATCCCTTTTGTTGATCTGGCTACCTCCATACCTAGAAAGTACTTTAGTATACCAAGATCTTTTATACTGAATTTTTCATCCAATACTTGCTTCAATCGACTAATTTCTGTCAAAGATGTGCCTGCTAGTACTAAATCATCTACATAGACAAGTATAGCAGTGAAGTCCTGGCCAGATGATTTAGTGAACAAAGAATGATCAGCTTGTGATTGATAATAA